GTAGGAATGAAGGAAGTTACTATATGCATAACCAACACAGTTTGTAAAAATATATGTTTCTCTTCAACAGGATAACATTGAAATCCCTATCCCAAGGTACTTTATCAAGGAGAAACTTAAAGCATTAAAAGAGAGAGAGAAGATCCTTGCTCAGATCATGTTGGATGCCGGAATGTATGAAGATGAACCCGTAAGTATATCTATATAATAAATTGAGGGATACAGGTAATCCTCATTAGCAACCACTTGTTCAGTGACCATTCAGACTCACAGTCATGATGAACACGGGGACTTAATGAGCAATCCTCAAAGTTGTAACCATCACAATGACTTGGTAGTCACATGATTGCAATTTTGGCACTTTGCAACTGGCTTGAACTTACGACAATTGCAGCAACTTCCTTGCCAGTTTTTCTCAAACAAAGTCAATGGGGAAGCCAGTAGAACAAGTCACAAATTGCTCCTCTGTTTTTTCTCCCAGGGAGCCCCCAGGCAGCAGATCAAGTGCAGATCCCAAAAGGCAGGCTGTTGCCTTCTTCGCCACACATGGACCACAGTTCCCACCACTCCACACCACCTGCCCACCCATACTATAGAGCCCATCCCCACTCACTCATGCCATCCACCTGCATTCATACTGCAGCATCCAGCTGCATTGCAGCTCCCACTCCCCAGACAGCTGTTTCTCACTTAAATGTTGCAATGAGAACTGCTGGAATTGACTGCTAAGCAATGCAGTTATGTGACAATACACTTTATAATCTCTTAGCTTGGTGGTGGGGGAGGCTGAATATCATAACAACTTAATTAAAGATAATACATCAAGATGATCATAATTATGGGACTAGGCAGAAATTCTTTCCTTAATGAATATTTGTAACACCCTTATACCATATGTATATGGATACACATGTCCATACCCGTACAAAGCTTTAAATAGTGTCTTTTGTTCTTTCAACATCTCAACTTTTTCTTTGATGGGAGCTCCATTCAATCATAAATTGGTTGGTTTTCCTGTGAACCCACTCATTCCACTTTCATGTTTATTTCCAGTGTAATCCTCATTATTTCTATATAACCAAATCATTTCAGTATACTTTGTTCATACCAATCACTCGTTTCTGTGTTCAGTAACCATACATTCTTGATCCTTTCACTTCTTTTACTACCTGTACTCCAAGTAAAAGATTCTCACTCCATACAATTTTTATGTTTCTCTTGACATGTAAAAAGTGAGGCAGAAGCACAAGTTTATGGAAATGTTTTTGTTTTGTAATCTTATGGGACTTTGGAGGCAACGGTCTTTGCTGTGATAGCCCTTTGGAATAATCTCCTGACATATAGCTGGTCCTATGCGGGCCTTTTTTTAAAAACATGCCTTTTTTCCTCAGTCATTCAAATCAGGATGTTAAATAACTTTGTCTGCAAAGGGCCTAATACATTTTAGTTACCAGTTGCCAAATAATTGTTATATTTGGTTTTAGCTGGTATTATTTACTTTAGTTTTGGTTTCTTTGTTCTTTGGTCCACTATATACCATCCGGAATCATGTTGTTCAAATTGGATAGCCATACAAGAGCTCAGTCAATGTATTCCTTTAAGGACAGAACATTGAGAATATAAAAAAGCATTCTAGACCCATTTACCCCCCACAAAGTAGGAAGAGGTAATTTGGAATTATTCTGGGGTCAAAATGATACCTGTCAACAGGACTGATGTGGTGTGCTTACCTGAAATAACAATTGAGTTTTCTCTTAAACTTCCTTTTTATATTGCAGAAAAAACCTGTGAAGGTCATGCTTTTAGAAGAAGCTGTTAGAGTAATTCAAATAGCTGAGCGAGCTCGACAGGGCCGACTCAGGGCTACATTCATGAAGCAAATCTTTCTTGAAGAAAAGAGAGAACGATTAGCCAGGCTTCAGGGTACAAAAGGTCCAGATGTTGAAACTGCTGCAATGTGTATTCAAAGGGTAAACATACATACTTTTAAAAATATGTTCCATTGAAAAGTTGCTTTTTATTCAATTTCTTTTGAATGTGCTATCAATGGAGAATGTTCATACCTATTTTTATATTATTGTTTGCCTTCATTTAATTTAACAAAAAAGAAAAAAAACCAAATACATATTTACTTCTCATACATATGTGTATAAAATATGGTACAACAGTTTCAGGAAAGGATGATTGTATTTCATTGTAATATTTTAAGCATTTTGTTCTTAAGGTATAATGTCAGGTCTTTAATCCTCTATGTCAGTGGTCCCCAACCTTTTTGGCTGCACAGACTTGGGGGGGGGGGGGGGGGACAGGTTCACACTCTCAATCTAATCCCGTGCATGCACAAATGAAGCTTCATGTGCTCACCCATCACTTGTGTAGCCCTTGTCCCAATGGGCCGTGGACTGGGAGTTGGGGACCCTTGCTCTAAGTAATTGGAAACTTTAAGTTATCTTTTCCAAACTGAAGTACTATTACCAATAAAAAGGGTACTGAGCATCCATTTCAATAGTCTTTTTTTAAAAAAA